AGCAGATCCCCTGAGCGGATCCCCAGGGCAGATCCCCTTGAGCAGATCCCCCGAGCAGATCCCCCGAGCAGATCCCCCGAGCGGATCCTCCGAGCGGATCCTCCGAGCGGATCCCCCAAGCAGATCCCCAGGGCAGATCCCCTTGAGCAGATCCCCCGAGCGGATCCCCCGAGCAGATCCCCTGAGCGGATCCCCAGGGCAGATCCCCTTGAGCGGATCCCCCGAGCGGATCCCCCGAGCAGATCCCCTGAGCGGATCCCCTCTCCCCACCCCGCAGAAGGACTGGTTCGCCAAGCGCAAGAAGTTCAAGCGGCCGCCGCAGCGCCTGTTCGATGCCGAGAAGATCCGGTAGGGCCCGATCCCGACCGATCCCCTGGGATCCACTGACCCCAAGTGACCCCGGGGGTGACCCCCAGTGACCCCAGGGTGACCCCAGGGGGTGACCCCAAGTGACCCCAGGGAGTGACCCCAGGGAGACCCTGAGTGACCCCAGTGTGACCCTCAGTGACCCCAGTGTGACCCCCAGTGACCCCAGGGGTGACCCCAGGGGGATCCTGAGTGACCCCAAGTGCCCCCAGGGTGACCCCGAGTGACCCCGGCTGTCCCTGCAGGTCCCTGGGTGGGGACGTGGCCTCCGACGGCGACTTCCTGATCTTCGAGGGTAACCGCTACAGCCGGAAGGGTTTCCTGTTCAAGAGCTTTGCCATGTCAGCTGTGGTGAGCCCCAAATCCGCCTGTTGTGTCAAAAATCCGCCTGTTCCATCCAAAATCTGCTGCTTCCAGCCCCAAATCTGCCTGTTCCAGCCCCAAATCCGCCTGTTCCAGCCCCAAATCCGCCTGTTCCGTCCCAAATCCGCCTATCCCAGCCCCATATCCGCCTGTTCCCTCCAAAATCCGCCTGTTCCAGTCCCAAATCTGCCTGTTCCGTCAAAAATCTGCTGCTTCCAGCCCCAAATCCACCTGTTCCAGCCCCAAATCCCCACACTGCCACACAAACCTGCCTGTCAGGGCATAAAATTTGCTTCTTACCCAAAATCCCTGAGTTTGAACCTGAAATCCTTTCTGAGCCCCAAATCCATCTCTTTGAACCCAAAATCCACAAGTTTGAACCCAAAATCCACAATTTTGAACCCAAAATCCACAATTTTGAACCCAAAATCCACAAGTTTGAACCCAAAATCCACAATTTTGAACCCGAAATCCACAATTTTTAGCCCAAAATCCACAATTTTGAACCCAAAATCCTCAAGTTTGAACCCAAAATCCTCAAGTTTGAACCCAAAATCCACAAGTTTGAGCATTAAAACGTGCTCAGTCCAGCCCCAGATCAATTTTTGCCCCAAATCCACCTCTTTGAACCCAAAATCCACAATTTTGAACCCGAAATCCACAATTTTTAACCCAAAAGCCACAATTTTGAACCCAAAATCCGCAAGTTTGAACCCAAAATCCACAAGTTTGAACCCAAAATCCACCTCTTTGAACCCAAAATTTGCCCGTTTGAACCCAAAATCCACAGTTTTGAACCCAAAATCTGCAATTTTGAGCCTCAAAAGTTGCCCAGTCCGGCCCCAGATGCGTTTTTGCCCAAATCTGTGGGATTTTCCCCCAACCCCAGATCACCGAGGGGGTCAAGCCCACCCTGTCCGAGCTGGAGAAGTTCGAGGACCAACCCGAGGGCATCGACCTGGAGGTGGTGACCGAGAGCACGGGTACGTCCTCAGACCCCAAAACCCACCCGAAACTGACCAAAATCACCCCAAAATCACCCTAAATCACCCCAAAACTGCCCAAAATCACCCCAAAATCCACCCGAAACTGACCAAAATCACACCAAATCATCCTAAAATCACCCTAAGTCATCCCAAAACTGCCCAAAATCACCCCAAAACCCACCCAAAACTGACCAAAATCACACCAAATCATCCTAAAATCACCCTAAATCACCCCAAAACTGACCAAAATCACCCCAAATCACCCTAAAATCACCCTAAATCACCCCAAAACTGCCCAAAATCACCCCAAAACTTCCCAAAATCACCCTAAATCAGCCCAAAACTGCCCAAAATCACCTGAAATCACCCGAAAACTGCCCCAAATCACCCCAAAACATCTCAAAACTTCCCAAAATCACAGAAAAACTCCCCAAAATCACCCCAAAACCACTCTAAATCACCCCGAACTATCCAAATCCGCCCAAAATCACCCCAAAACTTCCCAAAATCCCCCAGAATCACCCCAAAACTGCCCAAAATCACCCCAAAACTTCCCAAAATCACCCCAAATCACCCCGAAATCACCCCAAAATCACCCAAAACTGCCCAAAACCACCCAAAATCACCCCAAAATCACCCCAAATCACCCCAAACCCCCCAACCCCCTGTCCCAGGGAAGGAGCGGGAGCACAACCTGCAGCCGGGTGACAACGTGGAGGTGTGCGAGGGGGAGCTCATCAACCTGCAGGGCAAAATCACCCCAAAACCGCCCAAAATCACCCCAAATCACCCCAAAATCACCCCAAATCACCCCGAAATCACCCCAAAATCACCCAAAATCACCCCAAAACCACCCAAAATCACCCCAAAATCACCCCAAATCACCCCAAACCCCCCAACCCCCTGTCCCAGGGAAGGAGCGGGAGCACAACCTGCAGCCGGGTGACAACGTGGAGGTGTGCGAGGGGGAGCTCATCAACCTGCAGGGGAAGATCCTCAGCGTGGACGGTAACAAGGTCACCATCCTGCCCAAGCACGAGGACCTCAAGGTGATCTGGGGGGAAAACTGGAATTTGGGGAAAGGGGGGGGAAAATGGAATTTTGGGCAGAAAAATGGGGATTTGGGGGGAAAAAATGGGGGTTTTGGGGTTTAGGGGAAAAACGGGGGTTTTGGGGTTTTTGGGTCAAAAAACGAGGATTTTGGGTGGAAAAATGGGGGTTTTGGTTGAAAAATGGGGGTTTTGGGGGGAAAATGGGGTTTTTTGGGGAAAAATGGGGATTTTGGGAGGTGTTTTTGGGTGTAAAAAGGGGGGTTTTGGGAGGTGTTTTTGGGTGTAAAAAGGAGGGTTTTGGGAGGTGTTTGTGGGTGTAAAAAGGGGGATTTTGGGAGGTGTTTTGGAATGTAAAAAGGGGGATTTTGGGAGGTGTTTTTGGGTGTAAAAAGGGGGATTTTGAGAGGTGTTTGTGGGTGTAAAAAGGAGGGTTTTGGGAGGTGTTTTTGGGTGTAAAAAGGGGGATTTTGAGAGGTGTTTTGGAGTGTAAAAAGGGGGATTTTGGGAGGTGTTTTTGGGTGTAAAAAGGGGGATTTTGGGAGGTGTTTGTGGGTGTAAAAAGGGGGATTTTTGGAGGTGTTTTTGGGTGTACAAAGGGGGATTTTGGGAGGTGTTTTTGGGTGTACAAAGGGGGATTTTGGGAGGTGTTTGTGGGTGTAAAAAGGAGGGTTTTGGGTGTAAAAGCGGTGATTTTGGGTGTTGCAGGACATGCTGGAGTTCCCGGCGCAGGAGCTGAGGAAATATTTCCGGATGGGCGACCACGTGAAGGTGATCGCCGGGAGGTTCGAGGGTGACACCGGGCTGATCGTCAGGGTGGAGGAGAACTTTGTCATCCTCTTCTCGGATCTGACCATGCACGAGGTGAAAATGGGGCGAAAAACAGGGGAAATGGGAAAAAACGGGGAAAAATGGGAAAAATGGGAAAAAACAATGAAAAATGGGGGGAAATGGTGTAAAAATGGGGTAAAAAGAGGGTGGAGGAGAACTTTGTGATCCTGTTCTCAGACCTGACCATGCACAAGGTGAAAATGGGGTGAAAAACAGGGAAAATGGGAAAAAATGGGGAAAAATGGGAAAAAACCGGGGGAAAAACAGTGAAAAAATGGGGAAAAACGGGGAAAAAACAATGAAAAATGGGGGGAAATGGTGTAAAAATGGGGGGAAATGAGGGTGGAGAAGAACTTTGTGATCCTGTTCTCATACCTGACCATGCACGAGGTGAAAATGGGGCGAAAAACGAGGAAAATGGGAAAAACGGGGAAAAAACTGGAAAAAATGGTTAAAAAATGGGGGAAAATGGTGTAAAAATGGGGTAAAAGGAGGGTGCAGGAGAACTTTGTGATCCTGTTCTGGGATCTGACCATGCACGAGGTGAAAATGGGGCGAAAAACAGGGGAAATGGGAAAAAACGGGGAAAAATGGGGAAAAATGGGAAAAAACAATGAAAAATGGGGGGAAATGGTGTAAAAATGGTGGGAAATGAGGGTGGAGGAGAACTTTGTGATCCTGTTCTCATACCTGACCATGCACGAGGTGAAAATGGGGCGAAAAACGAGGAAAATGGGAAAAACGGGGAAAAAACTGGAAAAAATGGTTAAAAAATGGGGGGAAATAGTGTAAAAATGGGGTAAAAGGAGGGTGCAGGAGAACTTTGTGATCCTGTTCTGGGATCTGACCATGCACGAGGTGAAAATGGGGAGAAAAACGGGGAAAATGGGGAAAAATGGGGAAAAAATGGGGAAAACACAAAAAAACCCCAGGAAAATTTGGGAAAAACCTATAAAAAAATGGGAAAAATGCAAAAAAACCAGGAAAATTTGGGAAAAAACTGGGGAAAAAGTGGGGAAAACCCAAAAAAACCCAGGAGAATTTGGGAAAGATGTGGGAAAAAAAAGTGGGGAAAACCCTCAAAAAAACCAGGAAAATGTGGGAAAAACCTGTGAAAATAAATAGGGGAAACAGCCCAAAAAAACCCCCAGGAAAATCTGGGAAAAACCTGGGAAAAAAATGGGGAAAAATCCAGGAAAATCTGGGAAAAAGCCAGGAAAAAAATGGGGAAAACCCAAAAAAACAGGAAAAATTGGGAAAAAACTGAAAAAATGGGGAAAAATCCCAGAAAATTTGGGAAAAAGGCAGGAAGAAGTTGTGGGAAGTGGGAAAAGAGATTTTGGGGTGAAAGCAGGAGGTTTTGGCAGCATCCAGGTGGATGTTTTGTTGTTTTTTCCCTGCAGCTGAAGGTGCTGCCCCGGGATCTGCAGCTCTGCTCCGAGACGGCCTCGGGGGTGGATGTTGGGGGGCAGCACGAGTGGGGGGAGCTGGTGCAGCTGGACCCCCAAACCGTGGGGGTGATCGTGAGGCTGGAGAGGGAAACCTTCCAGGTGAGAGCGCTGAAAAACACCCTGAAATGCTGCATGAAACACCACAAAATCCCCCAAAAACACCCTGAAATGCTGCATGGAACACCACAAAATCCCCCAAAAACACCCTAAAATGCTGCTAGAAACACCACAAAATCCCCCAAAAACACCCTGAAATGCTGCATGGAACACCACAAAATCCCCCAAAAACACCCTGAAATGCTGCATGGAACACCACAAAATCCCCCAAAAACACCCTGAAATGCTGCATGGAACACCACAAAATCCCCCAAAAACACCCTGAAATGCTGCATGGAACACCACAAAATCCCCCAAAAACACCCTGAAATGCTGCCCAAAACACCACAAAATCCCCCAAAAACACCCTGAAATACTGCCCAAAACACCACAAAATCCCCCAAAAACACCCTGAAATGCTGCATGGAACACCACAAAATCCCCCAAAAACACCCTGAAATGCTGCATGAAACACCACAAAATCCCCCAAAAACACCCTGAATCTCCCCCAAATCCCACCTAAATCCCACTAAAGCCCCCCAGAAATCCTGTCTGTGTCCCCTGAGCTGTCCCCGTGTCCCCTCTGTGTCCTCTGATCCCTGCCCGTGTCCCCTCTGTGTCCCCTGAGCTGTCCCCGTGTCCCCTCTGTGTCCTCTGATCCCTGCCTGTGTCCCAGATGTGTCCCCTGAGCTGTCCCCATGTCCCCTGATCCCATCCGTGTCCCCTGATCCCTGCCCGTGTCCTCTCCGTGTCCCCTGAGCTGTCCCTGTGTCCCCTCTGTGTCCTCTGATCCCTGCCTGTGTCCCAGCCGTGTCCCATCTGTGTCCCCTAAGCTGTCCCCATGTCCCCTGAGCTGTCCCCGTGTCCCTTTGGTGTCCCCTGATCCCTGCTGGTGTCCCCTGATCTGTCCCCGTGTCCCCTCGGTGTCCCCTGAGCTGTCCCCGTGTCCCCTCGGTGTCCCCTGATCCCCGTGGGTGTCGCAGGTGCTGAACATGTACGGGAAGGTGGTGACGGTGCGTCACCAGGCTGTCACCCGGAAGAAGGACAATCGCTTTGCGGTGGCGCTGGACTCGGAGCAGAACAACATCCACGTCAAGGACATCGTCAAAGTCATCGACGGCCCCCACTCCGTGGGTCTGGGGTGTTCTGGGGGTCCCCAGGGTGTTCTGGGGGGTCTTTGTCACCTTCCAGGGGCTCCCCAGGGTGTTCCGGGGGGTCTTTGTCACCTTTAGGGACTCCCCAGGGTGTTCTGGGGGGTCTTTGTCACCTTCCAGGGACTCCCCAGGGTGTTTTGGGGGGTCTTTGTCAGTTTCAGGGACTCCCCAGGATATTTTGGGCTGTTTTTGTCAGTTTCAGGGACTTCCCAGGATATTTTGGGGGGACCTCTGACCCTTCAATTTTGGGGTTCTCCCCCCTTTTTTCACCCCTCCCCAACCCCAAAAAGGGCCGTGAGGGTGAAATCCGCCACCTGTTCCGGGGCTTCGCCTTCCTGCACTGCAAGAAGCTGGTGGAGAACGGGGGGATGTTCGTGTGCAAGACGCGGCACCTGGTGCTGGCGGGGGGCTCCAAGGTCAGCGTTTCCTCCCAAATCCCCCCCACATTTTCCCGTTTTCCCGGGTTTTTTCCCCATTTTTTTTCCTCCCTCGCAGCCCCGCGACGTCACCAACTTCGCCATGTGCGGCTTCGTGCCGATGTCCCCCCGCATCAGCAGCCCCATGCACCCCAGCGGGGGGGGTGAGTGACGCTGGGGGGGTTTTGGGGACTCTTAGGGGGGGTTTTGGGGACCCTTGGGGGGTTTTAGGGGACCCCCTGGGGGGTTTTAGGGGACCCCTTGGGGGGTTTTGGGGACCCCTGGGGGGTTTGGGGACCCTTGGGGGA